AAAAAATAATTCTCGCAGCACTTTATTTAAGGAGTTAAAAAAAGTCAAGAAAAATATAAAAACTTAAAATATAAAGTAAAGAAGACTGGTAGAATCACTTTTATAATTCTATTTAAATTTATATTCATTTTGACAATCTTATTACTGATATTACAACTATATTTTAAAATAATAAATTGTCTGTCTGACCGAAATATATCTAAAAATACATTAATACTGTGTTTAGATTGCAATGTATAAGGTGACGTTTGAATATACGGAAGATTATAATGTTATTTTTGTGAAGTATACCGTATACTCCGTAGTATTTGGGATTAATGGGTTGGACGCAATTACATTATAAATTTAATGGCATTCAGACACAAATAAATTAAATAAATGAATAAAAGGTAAATATATAAAAATAATAATAATATACTAATGAAAACATAAGTTTTATTCATTTATTTAAATAATTTAATTTTATAAAAAAATATTAAAATTATTAAATTTATAATATATATCTATACTTTTTAAGAATAACTTTGTTTAGTAGCTAAATTACTTAAATAATTAAATAAAAATCCTTTTATTTATTTATTTTATTAATTAAATAAATAAATAATATTTTATTTATTAGAGAATAAAATTGTGTAAATAAAAATATATACAAAAGAAAGTTACGTAATTATGAATAAATACAAATGTACGTGACTTCGCTCGCGCGTCTCGCTTCGCATGCCACAACCTTTTCCTTTCCATTATTGTCACTGTACCTTTTACATCTTCAATTTTCCTTTTTCTTTTCTTTTCGTATTTTTTTATTTTCTTTTTCATATTTCTTGTTTTTTTCACTGTCAACTCAGCTGAGAATGGTCGTTGTGGCATGTGGTTGGCCGTATGGCTTTTAAACAATTCTGTTAAAATTTTTGAAAAAATAGTTTCAATTCAAAGTTACTATCTGAAATGTCTTATAATAATTACAGTGAAAATGTTTTAAAACTAATTTTTAAATAAATTATTAAATAATATGTTGTTTACACTTTTTTTTGTTTACTTTTTTATTTTATATAAAAATATAATTATAAAATCATAAGTCACAAATTCAAACTCCTTGGAGAAAAGTTTGGAAAACGTTATTAACTTTATTTTGAGGTAAATTATTGTAAATTACTTTGTTGTATTTGAAAAATGTGACTAAGTTCATTTAACGAAATTATCTTTGTCTTATGAATGATAAATTTAGTCAGTTACTTCCATCAAATAAAGTTAGAATTTACTATATTAATAATAAATTAACTGAATTATTTTTAAATATTTTACAAATATTTTTTACAAAAAATATTTCATGCAACTCGAATACGATTGAGAATTCAATTATGATTTTTAATACACATTAAATAAAAAAAATTGAATAACATATAAATAATAAAATATGTAGATTTATTACGAGAGTTTTAAATTGGAGTAGTATCCATTAAATTTGTTTCTCTCTTAAAATATTCATCATATAAATCCACTTTAAAGAATACAAAAATTCCCTCTAAAATGCTATCATACCGTTTGTTAGATTAAAATGATTTATCAATTCTTACAATGTAACTTTAATCATTCAAAGTAATCATTACAACGAAAAATAAATAAATGCTAAAAGTATATAGTCATTAAATCATGGAACAGAAACAATGTAATTAAATATTTTAGTTAAAAAAAATTAAGACCAAACGTTATTTTATTCATCAACATTAATTAATTTTGTATTTTAAAATAAGTTATCAAATACATCAGATAATTTTTTTTCTCGTGACCTGAATGTAACTTGTATCTTAAAAATATTTATTATAAAATAGTCGTATAAATTTGTTGCTACTATATTATTATTTTAGTAAAGTATATTAATAAAAAATAAAGCAGCATTTTAGATTACAGGCATACACATATAATTTCTTTAAAATAAGAATAATAATTAGGAGAAAGAGTTGTCATTTTAGGAATTAAGAGGGACGAAATTTAAAATAAAAAAATTGACAAGTTATAAGTCTGATTTATGAACTCACCAAATCACAAAAGTTTGCTTCTTAAAAAGATAAAAAAAAACGAAATTAACAGTTAAAAAGAAGAAGAAAATTTCACCATCAACCATTTTCTTACTGCTTATAAATTATTTAATTATTTCAATTCAAACGTAGAAGATGCAAGCAAAGTACAATATTAATATGATGCCCAATACTTTGCCTAATTTATTCTTACATTACACACAAATATACATATGAATAAATTTATATATGAGTAAAAATGAATTTTCAAAAAAATAACTCGTAAAATAACATTATTAAACAGTGACTTGATAATAGAATTTGTGTAAAAGTGATATTAGTTATTACATAATGTTGCAATTTTTGGAAGAACAGATAAAGGTCAAATCATAAATAGCGAAAACAGTACAAATGCATGTTAGAAAAATGAATTCCATATGAGGATGAGCATGTTTTTGCAAGAAAATTATGATAGTACTTTTTAGGTGAGAACATTTGTTGTAATGACTCTTTATACACAGTAACCTGTACCAATTCATGAGAAAAATAAAACGAAAAATTCCAATTCGACCATTTTTTTTGCAAGAAAATCATGATGGTATTTGTCACCAAATTCCAACTAACACACACCAGCAAAAGTAAGTTTATAGAATTTATATTTTATAAAAAAAAATTATGTGGATAATCTTAACTTAAATTAAAATTTCTTTATATATATATTTCATGTTGATATTTAAGTAATGTACACAATTAAACACGTTTTTATTTCAATATGAACTAATAACACTATTTAACAAATTTAAAAAAAATATATTATTTAGTTAAGATAATTATATTAATTTGTTTTTAAAATTTAAAAATAAAAATATATCAAATTTAAAATAAGTATAAATTTTAATTTCAAACAAGGTTTAGACAGTAAAAGTATATTTAATCTTGAAAAGAAAAAAAAAGTAATGATATTAAACAATTTGTAAATAATGTAACTGTTATTTAGAGTCGTGAATTTTATTTACTTTTTGGAGTTCATAGAATTCAACTTAACAAATAGAAATACGACACTTAGTAATGATTCGTAGCGTATGCAGTTGACTCGTTGTTATAAAAGCATAAGCCTCTTTGTTAGGTATACTCTTTTACGAGATTCTATGTCTGATTTTTTATAAATATTCATAGAAAAATAAACTTAAAATTGAAATATATTAATTTTTTTATAAGTTAGAATGAAAATATAGATTTTATAAAATGAAATGAAAATCATTCTTATCAACATACAAACTTGATACTTTTAAATTTTAAATCTTTTTTATTAAAAAAAAAGGTGGTGTGAAAGGTATATTAGGATTAACAATAGACATCTACTTTTTGTTATCCAATTTTAAGGTCTTAATGTAAAGACTTTTTGTCTTCTAGTAAATGTACTAATCCATAATGTGTGGTTAAGAGATTTCTTTTATTAGCTTTTTTATCGAGTAAGATTTTAGTGATATTAAAAAGTTTTGAATTTGCATGTGAACAAGATAAAAGGTAATTACAAATTAAGATAATTACAAATTAAGGTAATTGCAAATTAAGATTTCGTTTGAAATTCCTAATCACTTATGGAAAAATATAATTGGAGTGAGGAAACATCATAATACTTTAAATGCACATTAATTAATAAATATAAACAAAGAATTGATTGTTTTTTTTCTCTCACTCATACATCGTATTGATTGTTCGAGTAACATTAAATTGGAAAGACTAAAAATCAATATTAATTATCCTCACTCAAATTGTTGCTTAGTCAATCAAAATTTTCAATTTAATTCTTCAAATTATCACTTGAGTATTAACCATATTCCCTGATTGATATATGTAAATGATAACAATTTAATAACTAAGTTAGTTAAGTAAAAAAATCTAAAAATATCTATCCAAACAAAAATCATAATAAACAAATCATTAATTCTTTAATTCACTCAAACACTACATTCAACATCAAAATTCAATATATTTATTTTCTTTTCTGTATATAGAATAATATTATTTTATCTTTTACATAAATATATACAACATTAATTAAAATAATTAAATTATCTTAAACTTTTTTATTTATACTTGAAACACTAATGGTTATTTTATCTGTTCGCAACGCTTTAAGAATCAATATATATCTCGTCGAAATAAAAAATGTAACATTTTTTCCTTAGTTAAAGAACTAAGAAAAGAAGGAGTCTATTGGCACAGTTCATATATATATTTTTACTGGTGTGAAAACAAGTCTTTATACTATATCTCATAAAAAATGTCGGATGGGTCAGCTATCAACCCGTAAAAAATCTTAGAAAAAGTTATAATTATTTATTTTTTAAAGTTAATATAAATAAATAAAATTAGTTAAAAGATTAAATATACTAATAATTTAGTTTAAAATTTCATCTGTTCAGTAACTTTTACTACTACCAGAGAAATATATATTTTTTAAATAAGCTAACAATATTAAAAGAAATATAATTTTAATATTTAAGAATGTTAAAACCTTATACAGTCACTGGTAAGAGTTTAAAACTTGAGTTTTTAAAGTAATTTTTATTTTTTTCAGAAAAAACCACCTTACCAATTTCTCCTAAGATGTTGAATCGGTGGGCCTGAAGATCGAAAAGCAAATCCTTTAAATTTAATGTTTTAAACTTAAAGGTTTCTTGAGCATTTAATGAAAGCTAAAGACATTCTTTTATTTAAATTCCTTTCACGATTTGTTAAAATTAATTTAAAAAAAAATACTTATCCGAGAATTATCTGCTCCATTTATTTAGGTGGTGAAAGTAAAAAGCAAAAGATAAATGGAGAATTTAAGAAAAAGATACCGTTGAAGTCTTAAATTCAACTGCCCAAGTTAGTTGGGTCTCTTCTCTTCCTCACACTGCTTTCTCTTTATCTTATCTAACAGTCAATCCTACCAGTATTCTCTTTCTCTCACTCACTCCNACTTCATGACTCGTGAAAATCTTGCAGAATCAATGGAAAGAAATGTTTCCATGTTTGATATCTAAGGCAGCAACAGTCGATGTTATATGCAACGGAGAAGGTCCTAACAGGAATGGTGCAGTGCAACTGGTAAGAGGAAAATGTTATTACCGTTTTTCTTTCTTCTTACATGGTTTCTGTCAGTAATTAATTCTCCTCCATCAAACACTGAATTCACCGTACCACAAACTGCACACTGAATTTTATTGCGATAATAATGTAAAAAAGTGATGAACTGCATACCTACACCGGCTGCTCGTGTTCCACGTGCCTGCAAACTATGTTATATTATATTAAATTCACCGGGTCCTACTTAGTGAAAGGTTTGATATAATATTAAAAAGATTAGGCAGTCACGCTCAATCGTTTTCGTTCAGCCAAATGTTTTTAATAAAATTTATTTACCGTTTCAATCGAGAAACAACTCTTCAAACGTGGATTTATTGTTATGCAAATTTATTTTCTCAGTGGTCCACGTCCACCCATTGAAAACAAGAGAAGAAGATGCTTTCGAGCTACTTCCGTACATTTTAACGTTTTGTCTTAAAGTTGTAAATGTTTAAGGTAAAAAGCTTGAGTTGCATGAGTAAACATACGCTTCCACTCACAGAAATTACGGTTTCATAACACCATGCTCATGCAATGGTCTTCTGTTTCAAAGTGCGAACTTTTTTTTGGCGCCTTTCAAAATACGACCTTTATTTATTTATATCACACAAAGTATAGAGACAAAGTCGCAGAAGGTTTTAAAATGATAGTAACATAATATACCCATGTACTATGTATAACTGTCGCCATTTTCCAATGTGTGTGTCCAGCTGGAATCTCTTTCTCTGTCTCTTTCTCTTACGTGTCCTTTATGAAAAGAGTTATGGTAAATGCCAACAAAAAAAACATAAATCAGTGTTTAATAGCTTATACCCCACCATGCATGAACAGAGAAAGACGATAATGACCTTGTCGAAGTTCTAAATTGTGGACAAGACTAAAGCTTTTACCCAGTACTATGGTTTTAATTTGACAAGAAACTATAAACCTTAATTTTGTATATATTGGGTGCAGATGTTTGCTGAGCTGCAAATGCTCACTCCAATGGTGCCCACAAGAGAAGTCTATTTTGTCCGTTTCTGCAAACAGTTGAGTGCTGAGCAGTGGGCAATCGTCGATGTATCCATAGACAAAGTAGAAGACAACATTGACGCATCCCTCGTGAAATGCAGAAAACGCCCTTCCGGTTGCATTATTGAGGACAAGTCCAATGGCCACTGCAAAGTATGTACAAGTCAAGTCATACATTGATTCACACTTCTGTTACATTCGGACCCATGAAAATTTCAACCTCAATATTTTGTTTTTAGGAAATGCATTCGTCGTTATAGTCGGTGCAAAAACTAATCAGTGAGAAAATTAAATAAACTATATGGGTACAGAAACTAGGTGGTACCATTAGGAATTTCGTCGGTGGTAACATAATCATTACTTGAATGAAGCAAAGCTATATATAAAGCTGTTATGTTAATAAAATAAGGAAGACAGTTGATGTTTTGTGATCAAACATTTAGTTAGAAGAACAGTTGGTGAAGTGGATTTGGAGTTATTGAAGTAAAAAAGGTAATAGAGAGTAGACTAGGTATTGATCTTTGTTTTGTCTTTAGGTAATATGGGTGGAGCACTTGGAATGCCAGAAGAGTGCAGTTCACTCCTTGTATCGTACCATTGTGAACAGTGGCCTAGCCTTTGGAGCAAGGCATTGGATTACGACTCTACAACTTCAATGTGAGCGTCTGGTTTTTTTCATGGCAACTAATGTTCCCATGAAGGATTCAACTGGTGAGTAATCAATTCTAACAAGTTACTTTGTTTAAGATTACTTTACTAAGGATCATCTACAAATAAAGAGTGCTGCATGCATCACAAAATGTTACTTAGGTGTTGCCACATTGGCTGGGAGAAAAAGCATTTTGAAGTTGGCACAAAGAATGACATGGAGTTTCTGCCATGCAATTGGCGCATCAAGCTTCCACACATGGACTAAGGTTACAAGCAAAAACGGGGAAGACATAAGGATAAGTTCTAGAAAGAATTTGAACGATCCTGGTGAACCTCTTGGGTTGATACTGTGCGCTGTTTGTTCTGTATGGTTGCCAGTCTCACAAAATGTTCTGTTTGATTTCTTGAGAGATGAAACACGCCGAAGTGAGGTACCACTCTTGTCTTCTTCCTTCTTAATCTTTTTTGTCAGTTTTGGTTTAATAAATTTATTGGCTAAATTTGCTGATACTTATCATATATATATATATATATTGTCTAAGTGGGATATCATGTCAAGTGGTGGGACAGTGCTGTCCATTGCAAATTTATCCAAAGGACAAGACCGAGGCAATGCAGTTACCATTCAAGTAAGTTGTTTCGGTTCAAATTTCAATACTTCACGAAATGAAAATGTGAACTGCATTCAGATCAAACTATGGTGCTAAGTGAAATATGGGATTATTTATTCCACAGACAATTAAATTGAAAGAAAACAGTGTGTGGATACTACAAGATAGCTGCACAAATCCTTATGAGTCAATGGTGGTATATGCTTCTGTGGACATTACTGGTATTCAGTCTGTGATGACAGGATGTGATTCAAGCAACCTTGCCATACTGCCTTCGGGATTCTCTATAATTCCTGATGGCCTCGAGTCAAGACCATTGGTGATTACTTCAAGGCAGGAAGAGAAATATACCGAAGGAGGATCTTTGTTTACAATGGCATTCCAGATCCTGACTAATGCATCTCCCACAGCCAAGTTAACAGTGGAGGCTGTGGACTCTGTCAACACTCTTGTATCTTGTACATTGAGAAATATCAGAACATGCTTACAATGTGAAGAGGGCTAGTCAAAATCAGATAATCAATTGATAGAGAGTCATAGACAATAATCCGCAGTGATGATCTTAGACTCTCTATTTCTTTTTTGGATAGTATTCGGTTTGGCAAAAATAGCTTGCGTTTGTTTTATTCATTATTCCATTACCAAGGAGGCTTTGGTCAAGTATGTATATCTGTATCTGCAGTTCTGTAGGTAGAAAGAGAGACAAAAAGCTTTTAGAATTTAGATTTTAACTATGGCGTGTATAGAATTATCATTTGTTAATTCCTTATGCAGTTGGATTTTTTTTGTAGCTATTTGATTATTCATGCCTTACATGGTTTGGTTTGATGGCTCAGAAATTATCCTCTTGAAACGGAAGAGAAATGATAAGTTATTTACACCCAATTTCTACTTTATGTTTCCGTAGGAAGCAAACTTACGTTACTGTTTGATGAAGCCCAAATTATAATCATGCAGAACTGTGGATGTTTGGTTCATAAATCCATTTGATGATTAAGATAGGTTTGTAAAACTTAAAACCAACCAAATTTCAAAGATAGGACTCGTCGGAACAAAAAGAATGTAAAGAGTTTCAACTTCAGAAAAATAGTATTCTTCAGAACGTTACTTCGGCACACAGTGCTGATCAGCAAACATAATTAATATTTTGAAAAAGAAAAATCTGTTTTTGCTTGCTGCTTCTCACCTAGAACTAAATTTATGCAACCTGCATTGCTGACAATGTTAATAGCCTTTAAATTTACATGTGGGAATTCTTCCACAAAAAATGGCAACAAGCACATCCCAGAAAGTATGGAGGCAATACAGTAACCAGATCCTTTTTTATAGGTCAGCATCCATCACTCTTTCGTCTCATGCACGTGCCATTATATTTTATCTAAACCTTTATGCATAATTTGGTTGCCATTAGCATCTAGTCACCCAATTTGCAATTCCCCCTTTCAAGCTCTTGTCCGAAAGCTTAAAACAATTGCAAACTATGGACTAACTCTAGGAATGACCTTGTAGAAAGTACAGTAAAATCAAGTCCTATACTATATTGTGCGGAATAAATAGGAGAGGGGTAAAATATTGAGGAGAAGACCTTCATTACGCTGTGAGCCAATTACAGGTGAAATTAGAACCATATTAACACAAAAACATTAAAGCATCAATCAAGTTTGAGTCTTTATCACTTGTATGATGTTCAAAACTTATCCTACTTCCACAATCACACTTCCACATCAAAACTTATCAAGATCACTGCATTTGATCCACGTATTTACATGGCAACAATTTAAGAGGTTTCATTTTAATACGTGTAAAAGTAATAAAAAAAAAGTCTTGCTTTCTTGGAGATCAGGCGATGAGTTGGATAAACCACGAGGAAGGGAAAATTCAGAGCTCAAGAGGGAAGTTAAACTCAACATATTACGATGGATATTTGCCCATCAGAATCAGAATCGAACATTTCATCACACACATTCTGTCACAACAAGGTCTCAAAGATAACAACACTGCCATAACGCCACATTTGAATTGAAGATTGATCAAAAGCCAATGGGACATTTCATCAAACATTCAGAGGGATCCATAAACGATAAAAGCTCTCACGATAACAAAATTAACAAAAACCATATATCAAACTGATTTCGTTAGCACCAACTTCTCCACTCCCAGTCCCAGCAAGTCTCACTCTCATTTCATTGCTGTATGGAATTAAACAATAAAATTTCCTGAATTCTCTCAATCCTCCGAATTACCATAGAGCAAGAGCAATCAATTAAAGCAAAAGACGATTATATATGATAGCCGTAGTTAGAATGATAAGAATTGCACATATAAACAGTGCACTAACACGAAAGAGTTGCACCATGGAAATTACAACACACAAAGCGGAAAGAGAAAAAAAAAAGATTGGATAAAATACGCATGAGAGAGTGAAATTGAGGAGAGTCTAGGACTGAGACTCGGACCCGAAAGACTCGAAAGACTCGAAATCGATGAAAATCTCTTCCCGCTGAGAGGGTTCGTTGGAACGCCGTTGGGGAGCGGGGAGGGCTAGAAAAGTCTTGGTCTTGCTGATGGGCCTGGTCTTCTGGAGCTGAACGATGTCGCCCACTTTGAATTGGTTATCTGGGTCGTGGGCCTGGTACTTCTTCTTCTTCCTGAAGCGCCTCTTGTACTTTGGGTGAATGGCCACCCTGACCACCTCCACAGCCACCGTCTTATCGCTGCTGGAGCACACCACCTTTCCCTGCATTGTCTTCATCGCTTTTATTTGAGGGACGGAACACGGCGGTGCCCATTGGGGCCTAACCACGCCGGAATTGGGTTTCGAGAGAAGGTTCGAGCCATGGGAGTGGCCGGTCAGAAATGGGGTTGAGAGCTTCGGAGGGAGCTGAAGAAGCCACATTTCTTATCCGTTTCTTGCACACTCTTTCTCTGTACTTCATATTTTATCTCCTTATCACTCTCCCTCTCTCTTACATCTCCCACTCCCTTGAAACCCAACATATAGATGGGCCTAAAGCCCAAATAAAATTGGTTTATATGTACAACCAAAGTTAATAAAACTATTAGTGCAAAGAAATGTTTTTCTTATAAATATATCCATGTTAAGAAATTATTTCATAATTCTTATTGCCCTCTTATTATCTACTTAAATTTAATCGAACTGGATTTCAGTTAATAAATTATTGAACACTTAACAATAGTTTTTGTTTATTTTTAACTATTTAAAATTAAATTAATTAATTCACCGCATAATTTAAAGATGCGTCCGACAAATTTTGGAAACTCTAACGTTAACTTATGTTATTTATTTTCTTACAGAGAAAATCTAAGAGGATAGGGTTATCCATCTCGGAACCACGTGGCATGTCATGAGACTTCCATGGTATGCACAAGGAAATGGAGATGGTGACGTGGCAATTTGATGAGATTTCTGTAACATATGAAGACCAATGTAACTGTGTGTGAAGCACAAAGCGCATAATGGCTTCTCTGGCAAGCTTGGCTGTTGTTCAACCATCCACTTTGAAGGGTCTTGCTGGATCTTCCCTTGCTGGAACTAAGCTCTCTTTGAAGCCCTCTCAAAAGAGTTTCAGAGCCAAGAATTTCAGGTAAACCATTTGTAATATCATTACTCTGGTAGAAGAAGATTATTAAACTATGAATTATAAATCAATATGCATGTGCACGGGTCTTCCTTTTCGTTTTATGTGTTTCTGGAAAACGAAAAAGAAGGCTTCTGCAGATTTTAATTGCACGTGAAAGCTACCATTTTCAGGAGAGGTGCTGTTGTAGCAAAGTACGGTGACAAGAGTGTGTACTTTGATTTGGAGGATCTAGGCAACACTACAGGCCAGTGGGACTTGTACGGCTCCGATGCACCTTCACCCTACAACCCTCTTCAGGTTTTATTTCTTTTTACTATTTGTTCATTAATGAGATAGCTGGAAATGCATTCAGTGGCAGTTGAAATAAGTATGAAAAAGTCAAGCATTTGCATAATAGTAAGGGAACAATTAATGGTTTGAGCGAAGAAACAGTGTAGGATCAAGGCATTGAAAGCAATAGTGGATGGTTTCATTCAGCTCTGTATATGTTTAGGAGTGGCTACAATAAGCTTTTATGCACTTACACAACTTAGTTCCATTGAAATTTCAAACTTATATTATATCTCCCTCGTTGATATGGATTTGCAGAGAAAGTTCTTCGAGACATTCGCTGCTCCATTCACAAAGAGGGGATTGTTGCTCAAGTTTTTGATCCTGGGAGGTGGTTCCACCCTGGCATACTTCAGTGCCACTGCTTCAGGTGACATTCTACCAATCAAGAAAGGTCCACAACTTCCACCAAAGCTTGGTCCCCGTGGCAAGATCTAATTTAGTTTCCAAGTTCCATCTGTTTAGCTTCTTTCCTCCCTCTTCTTTGGAACTGAACGTGTATATCTCTGCTTGCATACAATGTTTAAGAAAGTCTAAAGCCTACTTCTATTAAATCATGTTTATTTCTGGTCCAGAAATAGTGTTTGCTGTATAGTGATGATGATTTATTTATTTATTTTCATGGATGGCCTAACAGTAAGGGATCACCTCACCGGTAGTAGTGAAACTCAAGATCTTTTAATGCAATTGATGTTATGAGTTAAGCTATGAGTTAAGCCGATTGGCCATGTTTTACTAACATACTCGATTTGCTTGGGATGATTCTAATTTATAGAAAGCAAAACTTGAAGATGTTGTATGTTACGCACGTTGGCCTGTGACATCAGTACAGGATGATCTCTACATTAACGCTGTCACAGTCACAGAAAGGAACGGTGAGTTGATGACAGGTCACGGGGAGGGACAAACAAGGATGACATTTGTGCTAGGTATCGTCAAAAAACCACGACTCAGTAGCTACCAGACTACAAATCCTTCGTATAGTGAGGATGCCATATCTCTGACCATGCTTCAAAGCCATTAATTTTGTATGTGCATTCCTATGTGAAATGAAATAATTGATCAGCAATCCAACAAACGCCTTTATGAGTCTAATGCACTTTTAATGTCGTGCTGTTGGGCTTCTCGTGGCTCCCAAGTTCTCAAGATATGACATCTTCTTGCTGGTCACTACGTTAGCAAGTTTTTGTGGCTTTGTATCCTCGTCTTTGCATAAGTCATCTGAGGGGTCCTTCTTCAACGTTGAGTCTTCTTGATCAGAGCCCCAACCCATGAAATCTGATAGTGTCATTGAACCAGGTGCTTCAGTGGTAACCTTCTCCATCTCTTCTTTAGGAGGCCTGGAAATTGAGTTTCTGCTTTTTCCTGCTGATATATTATGACATTGAATTTGGAAATCTGCTTGGAGTACATCATCTATTCTTGAAAGAACAGTAAAGGCCAAACTCTCCAATATTCTTGAATAGCTTTCTAAAACAGCTTGCCCCACATCCTGCCAACATAACAAATACTCCTTCGTTTTAATTAAACACAATAAAATCATTCTATTGAACGGCCCTTCCAACGTTGCCAACAAAAACTGAAAAGGAATCCAAATATGTTGTTGTGTCTAGATCTTAAGATCAAACGAATCTCTTAGGCAGTTCATTGTAAGTAGAGTGTGTGCAGATTTTTTTAATTGATCAGACAGTGTGTGTATAGATATTGGACAACTAAACTCAGGGACATACTCTTACCTTGTTGTATTGGATTTTGCTTATATCCAGTGAAGATTGAGGAAGGCCTGGGAAACGGTGCTTTAAGAGAAGTAATATGGTTTCTGCTCTCTCTTCAAATAGTTCTCTTTTTTCAATACTCACTCCGGAACCCCAAGTAGATTTTCCATCTTTGTGGTTCATCTTCCGCTTCCAAATTACTATGGATGCTTCAATTCTATTCTTGAGATTCAGAATTTTATGCTCTGATGATAAGTCCATGGTTGACAGGAACTGGTCAGGATCAAAAAATTCAACTGTTATGCTCCTATAGATCGAGTCGCCTAGACTTGCTCTTCCATTCTGTAAATGAAGAAAAGGAAAAAAGAAAATAGATTATGTATCACAATGTTGCTCCAGGTGCTAACTATAAGTTTTCGTTGGTTTTTTTGTATCACCTTGGGTAGGGAGTCAATATAGCTTTCAGGGATCTCAATTTCTGATAAAATTTGGGCATTTATTGCCATGGCTGCTTTAAGTACTTGATTCACACAATCTTTCTGGTAATGCAGAAATTTTCTAGCCGATTCAGATAGACCGTCTGCCGGAACCTTAGGAGTAGGTAACCACCACTTATCATCATTTTTTTTCTTTGAGTCTGGATCTGAATCATCTGAATCTTTTGACACATAATAGAACTCGGTTTGATCTTTGAAGTTATCCAGACATTCCTGTTCATCATCAGAGATTGATCGGGACAATTAATAGTCAATTTAAACCTACAAGAGAATTATCACATTTAGCTCAAGAAATAATCAGGAATAATGATCTTACAATAAGCATTGCATCAAGCTTGCGCAAGGCAGGGATATTCATGTGAAGATCCGTCCTTTGTCGTGTCGTCATAATCTAGCCAATGAAAAACCCGGTTCTATCATATAGATAGCAGTTATGATGATAGAAAGAATAACACAGATACTCTTTATATAGAAATAGAGAGGAAGAGGGTTACCTCCATATTTGTACCATCCTTGGACTTTTGCTGAGAAGGAACCATTTCAACAACGTAATCTGTGACTGATAGAAGCCAATCAATTTCTTTTTTCCATTTTGCTTTCCTTTCTGCCGGCATTGGTTCCAGCCGTTTTTGTTCACCATAAATAGAAGCTGCAGTTTCAGTGAGATAAGAATTATCAGAACATATCATGATAAGAAGCTCTCAAAGAAAGAAGTAATGCCATATTGCAAAAGTTGTTGATTACAAGTCAATGGGTATAGAAAGAATGCTGGAAAAAAAAGTCAACTTACCAGCAAGGTTTGTAAAAGCGTTTGACAGTGCAAAAGCAGACGAAACTCCCTTTCCACCACCGGACATATCCTCACCCAACAGCAGTTTGGCAAATCTTTCCTTCATCTGTTCCATTTCTGAATTAATCCCAGCCATGAATGTCAACTTTTCAGAAAAATCCATTAAAAGTGATGAACAGAAATTGCTGGTATGTTAAATTAGACATTTTGAAATGAAAGGAGAGTTGATTATGAATTATAATTGTTAAATATTGTTAAATAGTAATAGTGATAGTAATGGCATTGACCTTGCAAGATCTTCTCTTTGGCTTCCTTTGCTGCCAATTCCTCCTTGGTTAGCGTCCTTGCTTTGGGAATCTTGTCTGAATCATTAAGAGGCTTTGATCCTTGACTTCTTGAAGAGGCTGCACCATCCTCTGTAGGTTCCAATTGGGTAGCAGTATCAATGCTGAGGCTCTTGGTATGCCTTCCAGCGCCCTCAAATATCCCTTTGAAGTTAAACAATCTGGTCCTGCCACCACCTTCCTGATCTTGTTCTCCTGCTTGAACCATGTTTCCTCTTCTTTTTTTATATTTCCAAGAAAAGGTTAACCTTTAAGGTGGAACAAAACATGGGGTGTCCCAGAACCTGCAGGGAGAGGTAGTGGGAGAGAAGGAAACTAGCAGAGGGGAAGCCAAGGCAAAGAATGGAAAAGGAGTTGTATTTTCTTTTTGGAGTTGGTGAGTTTGAGAAAAGGGTGGAGGTGGTTTTTTTGTTTGTTTTTTTGTTAGCCTTTCTTTTTTGAGCTGGATTCTTTGAACGTGGGGTGCATGTTGTAAGAAATGTAATGGGTTTAAGAGTGAGAGAAACAAAATTTGCATTATTTTTGTTTTGTTTGGGGAGCTTTTGCTCTGGAATGCTGAGGGGAAATTGGATGGTTCTTGATTAAGGTTCTAATTTAAACGTCAACTATAGCTGAAGACCAGGGAAGACAGACATGCACGCTTAGCCAATCACAAATATTATAACATTCCTTTCTTTAACAATCACAAATACTAATAGTTGTTTAAAATGAAATTTTATATTTTGTTAAACAGGTTTTAAGTCCCTCTAAAAAAAATTAAACATGTTATGGCCCAAAGTCCATCACTTCCCATTACTTAACGATTAAATATATATATAATTTTAAATTATTACATTGTATTATTTTTTATTTTTTAAATTAATTTCTCATACAAATAACAAAACTATATATATTTAATATAATAATGTAATGTGTTTTCGCCTAATAATATCAAAAATAATAATAAGTTAAAATTGGTATTCCTTTTGTTGTGTAACTTCGTTTAGGGATGATTTCACAAACAGAGTTGAGTATGAGAAAGAAATCGTTGGTCTAAACTAAACACTTTCATTGTAAATGGAATCCGTGGGCGTGCTAATGACTTGCCCAATGCACAGTTACATCCAAGAAGAGCTCACCAAGCGCTTCAACCTCTTCAAACTCTGGCACTTTCCCTCCTTCGCCGCCTTCGCCCAAGCCCACGGAACCTCCGTCCGCGCCGTCGTCGCAAATGTCAAAGTAGGAGTGGATGCCGCCACCATCGACTCCTTGCCCAACCTACAGATTGTCTCCACCTACAGCGTCGGATACGACAACATCGACCTCCGAAAATGCAGAGAGAAAGGCATTCCCGTCACCAACACGCCCAACGTTTTGACCGACGATGTCGCCGATCTCGCCGTCGCCCTTGCCATGTCCCTCTTCTGCACAATTTCTCACTCCCCTCGCCGTAATTCTGCTCCTCACCTCACACCAAAGGTTCTTCACTCACCCATTTTATCAGTAATTTTTTATTTTGTTTAATTATTGTGCGTTTGATATAGGGGTTTAGGGTTTACGAAAAGTGTAATTAAATTAAATTTGATTTTATGATTTGCACATTTAGCTTAGTGGTAAAGCAGTTGGAATTATTGGGCTGGGAAGGATTGGGTTGGCGATTGCGAAGAGAGCCGAGGCTTTTGGATGCTCCATCAGCTACCATTCGAGAAGTGTAAAGGCAGAGTCTGGGTATAGATATTACTCTAACGTTCTTGACTTAGCCGCTGACTCTGAAGTACTGGTTGTGGCCTGTACCCTCACGCAAGAAACCCGTCACATAGTGAACCGTGGAGTTATGGATGCACTGGGCCCAGATGGGATTTTGATCAATATCGGGCGAGGCCCGCACGTGGATGAGCCCGAACTTGTGTCCGCGTTGACCGAAGGAAGACTGGGTGGTGCGGGCCTTGACGTGTTTGAGAAGGAGCCAGAGGTGCGTGAAGAGTTACTAAGGCTTGAGAATGTTGTGTTGACTCCTCATGTGGGGAGTGACACTGTGGAAACTTGCATGGCAATGGCAGATCTTGTGATTGCAAACTTAGAGGCAAGCTTCCTTGGCAAGCCCCTTTTGACTCCAATCATTTGATGCTGCTTTTCTTCACATCACTCGTTCACATTCACTTCCTTCTTGCTTTAGATTATGAAGTTAATCAGCTACTTTTATTAAACATTTTATCCTAATCTTTTAACTTTCAATTTAATTAATTTGTTAGATTCCTTTTACTAGTTTTGCTAATTACTTTTTCCGCTGTACTGTACAAAGAGACGTTCATGCTGCACTTCGTGTTCCTCTTTTGTAGTCTGTAAGACCGAAAAACTGAGAAAAAAAACGGGGTGCAGCTCAGCTGTGGTTATTGTATAGATGTATTAATGAAAAAATGATTTTGTTTTTACTTTAATGGTGAATTGATATTTTCATGATAGAATTTACATAAGTTAATATCCATGAACTTTCCTTTTATGTTGAATTTAAATTTAGAGCTAAAGCCAAATTTCAACGGAGGATTTCCATACACAAGTTTATTTAAAGTTAAGATTCAATTTATTGCATTAAGTAGGTATATTATTTTACAATATAAATTCTTTAAATATTTTTTTTGTTTCAATTCAAGGGTTTGATGATCGGTTTTTCTTATTTTGTTGGTTCGAGGTGTCTTAAGTCTTAATCGTCCTTGTTAGTTACTTTGGTTAGTACCAGATTGACATAAAGAAAAATATTTCAACATTCATATTAAATATGTATTTATAAACTTTTATAATTAAATCAAATTTATTAATTATCCATTAATAATTATCATTATTTTCATCAGTTACCCATCAATAACTGTTATCGTTATTGATTAACCTTTAATTACCTTAATAATTATTTTTACATATCAGTTATTGAATTGTTAGTCGTTTATCCGATCATTGACCAGACGAGCAGCCATTAAGTACACTTTTATTTTTAATTTTTTTCCTTTGGCCCATCCACACCAACCATTGTCCTTATTTCTTATCCCAAATATCGTTGTGTATAATATCTTTAAAATTGATCTAAAAAGAAAAAGGGAAAGGAAAAGCACCGAACGACCCCACTCATCAAACAAAATATCCAAGACTTTCTTTTCATATCTAATTTCAGTTCCATTAATACTTCATCCTTTATCTTCTTCTTTCTGGTATAGCCACGACTCTTCTTTTTTCTTTGGAGAAAGAACAAATAATATCCACAATATGAAGAGAAATTTAAGGGGATCTTATCCAAAACAACAAAAAAGATGAACTGAAGAACAGGAACTTATCATAATTATATACAAAATAAAAAAGAACATCATCATCACCCTGCACAGCACCCTTCAAAACATGTTAATAGGGTCCAATCGATAAATGACTCGAGAGTTGCTGCATGTATTTAACTTGCCTAGATATGTTCTTGATCAGAAGAAGCCCCTTTGAAGATGAGAAAATTGAGAGTCTCCAGAGTAAAGTACACGAAGGTTCCCTTTGAATGGGTGAAAAAGCACCCAAAACTCGATCCCACCACACACTGCCATCCAGAACCATGCTTCGTGTCAAACTCCTATCAGTCCAATAAACCATAAACTCAGTCAACCACCAACCACAAACTCGTGTTAGAGAAAAGTTACACTGAAATCAGTTTCCAAGAACAACACATGCAACATTAAATCGGTCTTGAGTTTGAAAGGACTGCTTACTATTGTGTGTCATCGAAAAGATGGGAGAAAATGTTACCTTTTTAATGTGGGCAGCAATGGATGTGCAATCCAAAACATCATAGAGATCAAGAGCTTCAGAAGCAGATGCCATGGCTTGGATCTGCATCTTGAGGGGCATGTCAGTATCCTCTATCACAGCTTTACCTTCCAACATGCTTTCACCGTTGCTCTTTTCCAAGAAAGTGAGCAATAGCAATAACATATCACTCTATATATGATGTCATAAAGCTGGCACTGGGGCATGTACCAAACTCACTTCTGCTACCTCACATTTTTGGACTTATTATATAAATGAACATTCATGAATGTAACTCCCTCTCTCGTGATTTTTTGTCATTCTGGTGGTGACTCACTCGGTCATAGAGTCCTAGGATGAGAAAATTGATGCGAAAGAAGAGTGAGGAGCTAAGGATAAAGCTGGTGAGGCCATAAATAAAAGGAATTTTGTCAGTTTTGTCATTTTGGCCAGGTGCATTTTTTTCTTTCTTCTATTTTGGATTCGATTGAACTACCTATCCAGTCAGTTTTGTTTTTTTCGTTCACTTGACTTGGACAAATTTTAAAACTATTTATAAAAGAATAGTTATTCATCACACTTCAATAATTGGTAGATTGGGAAAAGTGCGGAACAAAAACTAGATAAGGCAGTATACATTTTATATATATATATATACACACACACACACAAAGTTCTTGTGTTGGGCACGTACGTAGAAAAGGAGCAGAAAAAGGGAGACTTTGCATCTAACCCAAAAGGGATTCTTATAAATTTGAAAAGAAATATGCTTAACAAGAAAAAAAAATTAAGAATATTATCTGTATTGTATGTCTGTATGGCTAAGATCCTCTGGATCCTTACTCTAGTTCGAGCTTTTCGGGTATGAGCTCCTCTGGATTGATTCATTTTCTCTAGTTCGAACTTTTTGGAACTAATCACTCCAGGCTAAGTTTTTTTTATCGATCACTTCAGTCCGAGCTCATTTATTTCGAGTTGATCACTTGAAGTCCGAGTTTCTTTGGATCGACCACTTCAACTAAAGTCCATTGGAATCGATTATTCCACAAGACTTATCACTTCGAACAAAGTTACTTTGTTTTGGATTGTCCGCTTTAGACCGATCAGTTGTAACAATGGTAACGATGAAGTAACTTATCACCATGACTTATCGATTACATAATGATCAATAACAATGGTAATGACAGAGTATTTGACTACTATGACCAAACAACATCCCAATTGATTACAGAATAGTAAGATCAATAAAGTTAATCACAAATCAATCTATTACTACCGATTAAGGTATGACCAGATTGTGATTAGACTGACAAAAAGATAAAAACACACCACAACTATTTTATATAAAGGTCTAAAATATGACTTGTGCACACATGTACATAACATGTATCAGTGCATTAATTTTTAACCTGATGGTTCGTTTAATGACTTTGATATCAAAATACCTTTTACAAATACTATATGAGAAAACTTTGGACAATGTAAAAACCAAGACATAACGACTTAACACCCGACTAACCACAAAACATAGCAAGAACACCATAACAATAAAAACAACCACATCATAAATCAACAATACTCGACGTTGAAGAATGTGTGTAAACTTGACCCAAAACCTATTAAACATTATCACAGTCTTTTATAACTATGTATATAACCCGTAGAACTTTTAATCTAACAATAAATTTTAGGTTTAATCATTTTCGAGATCTCTAATTTTGCTGAGGAGTCTCAATTAGGTTCTCAGTTATTTTTTTCTCAATTGGGTCCCTAATTGTTTTAATTTTTCAAAAATAAAGACCCAATTGAGAAAAAAATAACTGAGAACCTAATCGAGATTTCTCAGCTAAATTAAAGACCTCAAAAATGATTAAACCTGANCACAAAGTTCTTGTGTTGGGCACGTACGTAGAAAAGGAGCAGAAAAAGGGAGACTTTGCATCACACCCAAAAGGGATTCTTATAAATTTGAAAAGAAATATGCTTAACAAGAAAAAAAAAGAATTAAGAATATTATCTGTATTGTATGTCTGTATGGCTAAGATCCTCTGGATCCTTACTCTAGTTCGAGCTTTTCGGGTATGAACTCCTCTGGATTGATTCACTTTCTGTAGTTCGAACTTTTTGGAACTGATCACTCCAGGCTAAGTTTTTTTTATCGATCACTTCAGTTCGAGCTCATTTATTTCGAGTTCTTTTGGATTGATCACTTGAAGTCCGAGTTTCTTTGGATCAACTACTTCAACTCAAGTCCTTCGGAATCGATTATTCCAGGTCAAGTTTCAAGACTTATCACTTCGAACAAAGTTACTTTGTTTTGGATTGTCCACTCTAGACCGATCAGTTGTAACAATGGTAATGATGAAATAACTTATCATCATGACTTATCGATTACATAATGATCAATAACAATGGTAACGACAGAGTATTTGACTACTATGACCAAACAACATGCCAATTGATTACAGAATGGTCAGATCAATAAAGGTAATAACAAATCAATCTATTACTACCGATTAAGGTATAACTAGATTGTGATTAATTTGACAAACAGATAAAAACACACCACAACTATTTTATATAAAGGTCTAAAATATAACTTGTGTACACATGCACATAACATTTTTTAACCTGATGGTTCGTTTAATGACTTTGATATTAAAATACCTTTTACAAATACTATATGAGAAAACTTTGGACAATGTAAAAACCAAACAATAACGACTTAACACCCGACTAACCACAAAACATAGCAAGAACACCATAACAATAAAAACAACCACATCAAAAATCAATAATACTCGATGTTGAATCACAGTCTTTTATAACCATGTATATAACCCGTAGAACTTTCAATCTAACAATAAATTTTAGGTTTAATCATTTTCGAGACCCCTAATTTTGTTGATGAGTCTCCATTAGGTTCTCAGTTATTTTTTTCTCAATTGGGTCCCTAATTGTTTTAATTTTTCAAAAATAGAGACCCAATTGAGAAAAAAATAACTAAAAACCTAATCGAGACTTCTAAAATAAATTAAAGACCTCAAAAATGATAAAACCTAAATTTTATAAACTACGTGATCAAAGAAAGCATATTTGATTCACACATACANTGTTTCAATTCAAGGGTTTGATGATCGGTTTTTCTTATTTTGTTGGTTCGAGGTGTCTTAAGTCTTAATCGTCCTTGTTAGTTACTTTGGTTAGTACCAGATTGACATAAAGAAAAATATTTCAACATTCATATTAAATATGTATTTATAAACTTTTATAATTAAATCAAATTTATTAATTATCCATTAATAATTATCATTATTTTCATCAGTTACCCATCAATAACTGTTATCGTTGTTGATTAACCTTTAATTACCTTAATAATTATTTTTACATATCAGTTATTGAATTGTTAGTCGTTTATCCGATCATTGACCAGACGAGCAGCCATTAAGTACACTTTTATTTTTATTTTTTTTCCTTTGGCCCATCCACACCAACCATTGTCCTTATTTCTTATCCCAAATATCGTTGTGTATAATATCTTTAAAATTGATCTAAAAAGAAAAAGGGAAAGGAAAAGCACCGAACGACCCCACTCATCAAACAAAATATCCAAGACTTTCTTTTCATATCTAATTTCAGTTCCATTAATACTTCATCCTTTATCTTCTTCTTTCTGGTATAGCCACGACTCTTCTTTTTTCTTTGGAGAAAGAACAAATAATATCCACAATATGAAGAGAAATTTAAGGGGATCTTATCCAAAACAACAAAAAAGATGAACTGAAGAACAGGAACTTATCATAATTATATACAAAATAAAAAAGAACATCATCATCACCCTGCACAGCACCCTTCAAAACATGTTAATAGGGTCCAATCGATAAATGACTCGAGAGTTGCTGCATGTATTTAACTTGCCTAGATATGTTCTTGATCAGAAGAAGCCCCTTTGAAGATGAGAAAATTGAGAGTCTCCAGAGTAAAGTACACGAAGGTTCCCTTTGAATGGGTGAAAAAGCACCCAAAACTCGATCCCACCACACACTGCCATCCAGAACCATGCTTCGTGTCAAACTCCTATCAGTCCAATAAACCATAAACTCAGTCAACCACCAACCACAAACTCGTGTTACAGAAAAGTTACACTGAAATCAGTTTCCAAGAACAACACATGCAACATTAAATCGGTCTTGAGTTTGAAAGGACAGCTTACTGTTGTGTATCATCGAAAAGATGGGAGAAAATGTTACCTTTTTAATGTGGGCAGCAATGGATGTGCAATCCAAAACATCATAGAGATCAAGAGCTTCAGAAGCAGATGCCATGGCTTGGATCTGCATCTTGAGGGGCATGTCAGTATCCTCTATCACAGCTTTACCTTCCAACATGCTTTCACCGTTGCTCTTTTCCAAGAAAGTGAGCAATAGCAATAACATATCACTCTATATATGATGTCATAAAGCTGGCACTGGGGCATGTACCAAACTCACTTCTGCTACCTCACATTTTTGGACTTATTATATAAATGAACATTCGTGAATGTAACTCCCTCTCTCGTGATTTTTTGTCATTCTGGTGGTGACTCACTCGGTCATAGAGTCCTAGGATGAGAAAATTGATGCGAAAGAAGAGTGAGGAGCTAAGGATAAAGCTGGTGAGGCCATAATTAAAAGGAATTTTGTCAGTTTTGTCATTTTGGCCAGGTGCATTTTTTTCTTTCTTCTATATTGGATTCGATTGAACTACCTATCCAGTCAGTTTTGTTTTTTTCTTTCACTTGACTTGGACAAATTTTAAAACTATTTATAAAAGAATAGTTATTCATCACACTTCAATAATTGGTAGATTGGGAAAAGTGCGGAACAAAAACTAGATAAGGCAGTATACATTATNACCATTTTATTACTTCTATCTCCATCTCCTTTATTTAATTATCTGCTCAATATAAAAAGTGGTATATTAATTAAAAATATTGGTGCTTATAAGGGATATAAGCATAGTTCAAAATGATTAAAGAATGAATAATATTTTAATTTGAAGGGATATAATTTTATGTTTTTTAAATAAAGCTAAAAAAAACGTGATAAATAATTCTTTATTTTTTTTCATTACTAAATTGATGATCGTCCACCAAAAATTGAGATTAAATAATTAAGATAAATATTAAAATCTATTTTGCATGAAATAATTAAGATAAAAATACTAAATTTTGTTTTGCATGAATATATCAACAAATCAGAGTGGCGCAGCGGAAGCGTGGTGGGCCCATAACCCACAGGTCCCAGGATCGAAACCTGGCTCTGATAAAAAAGAGAAAGCTTCCGTTTAATAAATTTTTTAATTTTCTAAATTTCTCCACATACAATCTGGGCTGATTTTAAACTCTGACACTATTTAGGTCAATTGTGGGCCTTCATGTAATTGTGTTAGGACATTGGAAACACTTTAGGCCCAAAAGATTCTTTCTTGTACCATCTTATTAAACTTACGGGGTCAGGCCCATCATTTTTTCTGAACAGAAAGTAAACAAAATTACACTGTTTATATATCTAAATTAAATCCAAACAATTTAACAATAAATATTTAAAAAGGCTTAAACATTTTATTACTTTATCCAAAATGCACGGTGCAAAATATGTAGGATAAGTTAAAGACAAGAGATATTTGGATATGCTGCAATAAATCCCAACAGTTGCTCGTGAAAACAAAACTTTACCGAACCTTTTTCCTGCAAAACTGATACATGTGAATTCCATGTCTTGTTTTTTAACCAGATGTTAACAACCTTGTAATAAAATATTAAAATGGTGCAACCAATTTTGTCATTGGGTACCCAAGTGGCATTAAGTGTTGTTTAATTATTACTTAATCTGTTTTTGTAATTCATAATCTGCATTATCCAACAAAGCTAAACGTCAGGAATAAATTATAGAACGTACCTAAAATGATAAGAAATAAAATCACGTTGCAGCATAGAGAAACAAGAGAGGACCCATAATATAATTAGACAATTGTCCTACTCCTATAATTGAAGCTTCAAGAATTATTTTTTCAGAAGTGGCTCTGCCCCACAGAGAAAAAAGACAACATAAGAAACTGTTGTTTTCTAATTTAAACACTCAGAAAAAAATTATAAATAAAAACACGCTGCCGACACTTATTCCCGACCCTGCTGAATTTGTGCAGCCAGTGAGGTTTGGTTCCGAGCCTTCGAACTCTATTATCCGTTGCTCTTATTTATCCTTCAAGCCTAAGCACTTGTTCTGCATTCACCACACCTTCTTTTCTTTCCTTCCATGCAAGCAAAAAAACACTCTTTTTTACAGTGAAAGAAACCCGGCTGAATTGAGTTGTATGTGTCTTTTTTCATCATTTATCATGAGTTTTGAGTTTTGAGGTTTTGAGTTATATACGTAGAAATTCAGTGACACAAATTGTCTGGTTTTTTACCATATTTGACACACACAGTTATATCAGGTGTTCCTGTATTGTATAGTGGTTCAGATTTTCATGATGTTGTCTGCAAAATCTGAATCGGATATCACAAGTTTAGCTCCTTCTTCACCTTCGAGGTCTCCAAAGCGTCCTGTGTACTATGTGCAAAGTCCTTCGAGGGATTCTCACGATGGAGACAAGTCATCTTCAATGCAGGCTACTCCAATATCAAACAGTCCAATGGAGTCTCCTTCACACCCTTCGTTTGGGCGTCACTCTAGGAACTCTTCTGCGAGCCGTTTTTCAGGGATTTTCAGGTCATCTTCTGGAAGGAAAGGTAGCAGGAAGAGAAATGATAAGGGGTGGCCTGAGTGTGATGTGATTTTGGAAGAAGGTTCTTATCATGAGTTTGATGACAAGGGTTTCACAAGACGCTTCCAAGCACTGATTGCCGTGTTTACCTTTGTGGTTGTTTTCACTGTGTTTTGCTTGATCATCTGGGGTGCCAGCAGACCTTATAAAGCAGAAATAAATGTCAAGGTAAGAATTTCTTTCATCAGTATTAAAGGAGGGAATTTATCACTGGTGTTGGTTCTTGATTCCTCCAACCATACACATAGTTTGTTGTCTGAACCTGTCATCAACTCTGTTTTATTTCAAATTAGAACATGCATTAGTGTAGAAAAGAGATTATGATGGATAAAATGAACATGTTATAATAGCATGTGTTCTGGCATAATAGTTTTGAGAGTTATTATAAAAAGTCTTACTACTAAATTTAACCTATTATGATGTATTTTCTATTTATTAAAATGTATCTGCATGAAAAAACAAAAAAAGTTATGAGTGATGGGATGCTCATTACATATCATTGAAGTAGTTGGTAATCGCAGGCTATAGTTGTTGACATATGTGTTCTTGCAGAGTTTGACGGTGCACAATATGTACATTGGAGAGGGTTCAGACTTCACAGGTGTGATCACAAAAATGATGACAGTAAATGTCACTTTGCGCATGAGCATCTATAACCCTGCTACATTTTTTGGAATTCATGTGCACTCCACACCCATCAATCTTGTCTTCTCAGACATCACAGTTGCCACAGGCCAAGTAAGAATTATCTCATCACTTCTTTCTTCTGCTGGTCCTCTGACACAAATTTATGCTACTGACAGTAAAAATTCAAAATTTATCAAGTAACATACTAAGATATCTAACTTGTTGCAGCTGAAGAAATACTATCAGCCAAGAAAAAGTCACCGAATTGTATCAGTGAACGTAGAGGGTGCAAAGGTTCCTCTCTATGGTGCTGGATCCACCATAGCCGGTGTTGACGTTCCACTCACATTGAACTTTGAAATCCGATCACGTGGCAATGTGGTTGGTAAACTGGTGAAGACAAAGCACCATAAGCAAATCACTTGCTCCTTGGTCATCAACTCTTCCGGATCAAAACCTATCAAATTCAAAAGGAATTCATGCACCTACGAATGATGAATATTCATTTTCATACAGTTGTAATCTGTTTTGAAACTGTACCTTAAAATTGCATAATCTGTGGTCTGTGCCTGGCTTCAGATTAGAAGGTTCGTTTGGTTTGCAAGAGATGTAATATATGCAGTTGAAAAAATACTTTACATACAACCATTACCCTGAATCCCTTCTGTAGTTTACTGTCATGAGCATTGTGCCAATAAATGCATGTAAATTTGAATATGCATATGCATATGCATAAAATGAACATACAATTCGCCAGTTCATTACAGGGGAAATTGAGAAATCATCTTTAGAGAAAGCAAAAGTGAAATTGCGAAATTGTAGATTGATGTACCATGTTTAGGCATTTATATGGTACAGATCATTTGAACAGAGTTAATTTGTTAACATTGGATAAGATTTAACACAACAATGATCTTAATTAACGAGACAGCAACAGCAAAAAGGTTTTTTCTGGTTATCTTTGTGGGATGCATGCAAGTTAAAACTTGCTGTGCTTTTGATCTCGCATAAAGAGCTTTTAATTTTATTTGGCTGTAAATGTAAATTGTGAAACTGGTCATTAATGATATTTCCAAGAAGATACTCAAACACAGTGGGAAAATTATAAGAAAATTTTAACCACATTTTTATTTTATTTAATGATATTTTTTTTATATAAAAGTATCTTAACTTTGGTTAATGTCTGATTTTTTATTTATAAAAAAAATATTTCAAGAAGAACATTAGAAAATTAATAAAATTTAATGGAGCTAATTGATTTCCAAAATTTGTCTGAAATTATTTTTTTTTCCTCATAAAAGTCAGTGATAGTTTGTAGAGATTATTACCCTGCGTCACCAAAATAAAGCCTTTTGATAAACAGGATGAATATATTTATCATTATCTTTAGCATTTAATACAAATATAGCTGTCTGAAAACCTAAAATTTATGTAAAAACTTTATTCTATAAACTTATATTTTTATGCTTTTTTGCATGTATATGTTACTCTAATAGTTAATTATAAGAAACACTTCTAATTCAAGAACCTGTACGCACCATTTTCATCCAAAGTTTTTTTTTTTTTAATTTTCAACAAACTGATTAACTTTTTTTTTTTATTGATTGGTAAATATAAGAGAGGAAATTCTCCTGCTAATGAAAATCTGAAATTTTTATCCTTGTAGGAAAAAAAAAACACTTTTTTTCTCTATGGTCAAGGATAGTGGCAGGCTTGGAGTTTCCTGAAATCTTGTTAACATGGTGGCCCTGAAATTAAGGCGCATCTATAGTTTGTCACTGTGCCCTTCTAAGCGATTCTCCGCAGCGTTTTATTTCACAGTTCAGACACATCTTCACTGATGTGCATTGTGCTACTTTTACCAATTTCCTAAACCTTTCAGAAGCCCCATCAGATCTTGATCCCCAACCAATTCTACCATAGGCAAAAAACATGTGTACGAGGAAACCCGCCTTAAGATTCATCCTCGTCCTTCTCTCCCTTCTCCTCGTACTGAAGTTTAACGTTGCAACAGAGATTGAGGATGAGTTGGAGGAGCTGTTAGCAGTGGACGAGGAAGTAGAGCGTGAAGCCGATGGGGGTGGCGATAAG